GGAATGCCTGGTAGGAGTAATTAAAGCTATCTGATGAGGGAGTTTAGAACTTGAAAGGGATGATTGTAATTGATCCTGATTCAATCCTATTATAGCTTTTTATAGTTAAGGCTTTATAAAAGCCATACTCCTTACTGGGGCTCTTTTTTTTATCAAATCCCTTTGTATGGGTGCCCTACACCAGTCTCTCAGCTCTTTTTAAATTTCATTTAATAATAATAAAAAAAAAACTTTTCTCCTTTTATACTCCCTGTGCCTGTGCCCCCGCCCCCTCTCTTCCTCCCTCCCTCTCTCTAAAGCTAACCAGTGGCGTCTCAAGTGCATTGCCATCGGCAACCCCGTGCACCTGAAGTGTAACGCCTGTGACTACTACAGCAACAGTGTGGAGAAGCTGAGACTGCATGCGACCAACCAGAGGCATGAAGCAACGCTGAAGGTCTACAAGGTCAGTTATGCTTTACTTTGTGTTGAACTGTGTCATGACCCACTGTCCTAGTTCTGTGTGTTCTCGGTGTTATTGCATTATATCTATTTTATCACTGTATTTGAAAGAGGCAGATAATTCAGTGGCCATGATCAGGAGAACACAAACAGTGAATATTTGTTTTCTAGCACCTTTTTTTTTTTTATGATGTCAGATGTCATTAGTCCAGCTGTAAATTTGATTTGGCCTTCCATGCTCGCCCTTTTCCCAGTTTCCTCTGCTCTCTTTCCTGTAAAGACAGGAATATGCCAGTCTGCCTGTTTACACGATGCCTTTCAGAAATCAAACCTAATTGAATTTATGCCAGAAATATCAATATTTTTAACAGTTGGCCACTGTTGTAGTGCTTCACCGAATTTTCACCTCTGAGGTAAGCTGCCCCATCAGCTAGTATACAACAAACATCATGTGAACAGCTGATGAATTTTGAATGTGTGACTGTGTGGCTGTCAACATGCAGGCAAAAGAAAGGGAAAACAATTTGATTATTTTTAGATTGCCTTGTGTTTTACTAGTTTTTTAAACAAACAAATTACATTTTGATGATTCATATTTTACTGTTTTGCTCAAGGCCTAAGGCAGATAACTGATCCATAGCGGTGGGGGTTGAAAAGAGACCACTGCAGCCTCATCCTGTTCTTAAGTGCATTTGGGTGTTGACTTACTGGACTTGTGTGATTGCCTGAAACAATAATACTAACATCCTGAAATCATAGACCAGCATCACATCCCAGACACATTAGTGGACTCCTTTGGATAAACTGTATTAACTTAATGAGGATCTATTGACCAGCATTAGTCACTTTTGACTTGTGTGTGTGCTCGTAAGCCGGACTCGGCTGTATATTTAGAAAAGTGAATTTAGCAGCTGACAATGGCTAGACTGCAAACAAAATTGGCAGTCTTGTAACGATAGCAATAACGCAAACAATTCATTACTTTGACCCAATTACAAATATAGTCATTCAAAAAGGGATTTTTATAGGAGAATACAACTACTGTCACTTTCACTTTCACTTTGAGAACCTCCTGAAACAAAAAAGTTAAGTCAGAACCAAATGCTGAAAAAGGCCTTCTGAGATTAAGAAATGGTCAGTTTCTACTACTTTTTTTTTTTTTTTTTAAAGGGGTCCTATTATGCTTTTTCACTTTTTCATCTTTAGTTAGTCTGAAATGTTGAATGTTGAACATAAAAAAGATCTGCAAAGTTACAAAGTTCAAAGTCCACTTCAAAAGGAGATATTTTATTTAACAGAAATCACTTTTCAAAAACCAGGTTAAAGTCTTAAAATGTCTTAAATAACGTTTTCCTAATATAAGGCCTTAAAAAGTATTAAAATGTCTTAAATTCGGATTCGATGGGTCTTAATTAGGGGCCAAGCACCGAAGGTGCAGTGGCACCTATTGTATCCGTTAGCGTCATTTTTCTTCTTCCGCCGAAAGTCTATGGCAGCCCATAGAACCGCTTGCGGGAAAGTTGTGAAATTTGGCACACTGATAGAGGACATTCTCAACATTAACCACAGCAAGTTTGGAGTCTCTAACTCCAACTCTCTAGCGCCACCACTTGTCCAAAGTTGCAATTTCTTTATGCTAATAACTTTTGAACCATAAGGCACAAAATGAAAATTCATTTTCCAAAATGAATCCTTGGCTCATGCCGAGTCGAATGAACACCAAAATTCAAAAATCGCAAAGTTATGGAATTCAAGTTGATTCGTCCCACTGTTCTCGAATAACGCACGAAGGAATTCTACGAAAAGCATGTAAAAATGGATGTGAGGCTATATCTCCGCAATGGTTTGGCGTATTGAGGCCAAACTTGGTGTGTGTTATAACAAGCATGACCTGAGACTACCTGCAGGGTTTCGGCGCAATGCCCCCTAGTGGTCAAGAGATAAAAAAAATGCATATTTTTGCTTAACTTCTGAATGGTTTGGCCAAAAATCACAAAACAGGTCTCTTTAGATTCGGTGCATCATGCCGAGTCGAACCATACCAAATTTTTTCGTGTCAGCCATTTTGGGTGTCGGCCATTTTGAATTTTGTCAAAAATTGCAATATTTTAAGAACGCTTAGACTTTGTTACTACGAAAATTGGTATGCATCTTCGGCACCATGCCCTGATGGCACTCAAAAAGTTTGGGCGCAGCGCCACCTTGTGGTCAAAAGTTATAAAGCAATTTATAAAAATGCTAATAACTTTTGCATACAAACAGACATACGAATTTTCGCTTAGCAAATCTGAACAGTCTGTCGGCCATTTTGATTTATGCTGTAAACCTTCTTTTTCGAACTCCTCCTCAAGCCTTGGTCCGATTTTCACCAAAATCGAGTCAAATCATCTTCAGACTGTGCTGACAAAATGTTCAAAATCAAGACTTTGTAAAAGAGCATAATAGGACCCCTTTAAGAAGTGGGACTTTGAGATGCTTCGTGTTATTAATGTATTCAAGACAGTGTTAGAAATACAGAGCAAGTAACTAAACAACAAAGAGCAAAACTTCCAATGGGTGAAGTCAGCATGAGGCAAATAAAGGGCTGAAAGGATCGCATGTGGTATTTGGAGGCCTGGCATTAAAGACGCAGTCCATGGGAATGTTTTGAAATCCTTAGCAGTTTAGAAAGGGGAGGGGGGTCAGGGGGCTTGGCGTTGCAGTAGATTTGTTTCTTAACGTGATCGTGTTGTTGGGTCACTGCCTGATTATTGACATGATTGTTTGTGTTTATCCTGAAATGTTTAATTAGAGTTTACCTGATTTTTTTGCAACTGAAGAGCATCTTTTACATTTACACTTTCTTTTTTAGAACAGCAGGTGGCTATATAGAGCATGTAGGATTAAAATGGTCCTGATTTTTCAAGTTTAATCTTAAACCAGAATGACAATTGTGTTTTTCCTTTTGAAGCTCGGAAGTGAGTGATCTAGTCAAACAGAGAGACATATAATCTAATGCAATCTGTAGTTTGTATGGTTTTAATTAGAAGTACTTGTTGAGGTAAAAAAAAAACAAAAAAAACATTAGCACTCAAATGGATGCCCACCCATTTGAATTCTATTGGCTCTCACTTTAAGAAGTGTCCGAACAGGTGATGGGGCTGAATTTTGATGGTGAGAGAAGGGTGTCCATTTGACACAGAGGGGGTGAGGGGGTTTGATCTGGCTCTCTCATCTCCTCACGCCCCCACCTTTACCCGGGGAGAGCAAAATCTGTTCTACAGATGCAGCTTCTAATGCTTTTGGCAGGAACCGGGCCATTTTGCTCATGTATATTTGGTAGTAAATGTTGGGAAAAAAGAAAAAGAGGTTTCTTTATTTGACCAGAAAAACACCTCGTCTTTTATGTTCAGAGGTGAAAGGGTAGCGCTAAAGAACAAAGTATTGATGACCTTTCCATATGAGCCACGGAACACAAAGTATCTTTATAGCCCAAAATGATTGAGGATACAAACAAAAAGCATATTCAGTATTTTTATTGCAGCTTTGTACCTACGATTTATTTATTTTATTTTTTTTTGAGGAGGGGAGTTCAGATTTTCCAGACGTTAAAAAAGACCTCAATTACATTAGCAGTGCAATGTTTCTTTTTTTGTGAAAGACTTTGGCTTCTTATAGGTGTTTTTAAAGCTCCCAAGCCCACACCTAAAACAGCCTTGGATTTTTTTCACTATTATGAAGTAATTCGACTGTTTAAAAAAAATACAATGCACATTCTTGACCTCTTAGTGTTTGGCGTTAGCTTACAGTAATGATATATTTTCGTTATACAATTATCGTTAATAACCACTCAAATAAACGCAGATGTAGTCGAGTGTAAATCTGTCAAGGCCATTCAAAGGCGGCATAACGCTTGATTAAGAAACTGAGAGAAATGTGTGTTCCTCCAAAGAGC